ATTTTTGTGATTTTTTCGATTTTTACCATAATAATCATGATTCATTCGATTTGTAACCAGTCATTTATTGTAAAAAATTTAATTACAAAAATTTTTTTCCTCTTCCATTTTCGCCTAAAATCAACTTTTAAAAAGATACATAATTAAATAGGAAGAAAAATATGACATTTTTCCAAATTTTTTTAACATATTGTGCCGCCAAAAGTTAAGCCCACGTTTTTTTTATGCGCATAGAAAAATTTTCATTTCTAATGATTTTTGAAAGCCAAAAAGCCAAAAATCTCCGTGGATTTACGATTCACCCAAATATGGCTTTTTGAAAAAGATACCGTCTGGACTACTTTACGTAGACTTATGAATGACCTAATGAATACAGATAAAAATTCACTGAAAAGATATAAGGTAGTGGTGGAGGTAGAAAGACACAGAAAGACACGACAAATCTAAAAATGTTGGCGTTATTGAGTAGAGTTTGGAAATTTGATTAGCACGATAGTATTCTATAAAAACAGTTTTTTTGCATTCTAATTAAAACACTAATATTTTAGTATAATTTCTTTATCTAAAATAAGCTTACCACTCAATTGAATAAATCGGACAAATATGGCTTCTAAAAGAAATCAAAATTTCTATGGCAATGATTTTTATTAATTTGAGTTTAAAATTTTTTTTTTTAAAAATATACAAGGTGTTCCAGAATAACGTGTACAACGGAAGACCACAGATTCATGGACTCAAAATAGGCAGATTTAGGCTAATTCACCTATATCCCAAATCGTTTCGTTTGGCCACTAGACGGCGATTTTTTGAATTTTGTAAATAACTCAAATATGTATTAATCGATTTTGATTATTTTTGGGGTGTGGACTTTTGCTTTCAATCTACAAATTTTGATGTTAATAGTGTTTTTTAAAACTCACAACTCCTAAAAAAGTGATGTATAGTGATAATATCCGTTCATAATTTTTTCCTGTTTCAGGCAATAATGACAACTATTTTTTATTTGATATATGATACCATTTGGAAGTTTTTGGACCTCTCATAGAATTTTCATTAAGTGAGCGGTTTGGGTACAAAAAATATTTTTTAAATGTCTACATTTTCTTGAGACCCATATTACAATACTTAACAAAGTGCTAGTAGTTACTGATTTTGTATAGGTTCACTATAATTTCAGTTTGACCTTTAAGTCATTGTATCTGCCAATTTTTAACGATAAGATATACCCCATGTTTCTTCATTTTTCGATATGGATAGGTACTCACATACGACGAATTAAGAACGTGACTAATTTTATTGAAATTATTCGTAAAAACAATCAAATACGATAAAAAATGCTGGAGATAAAAGTAACAAAGTTGATGTTATTAAATTATTATAAAAACTGTTCAAAATGACCGCTGTTATTTTTACAACAAAGGTTAATTCGTTGAAGAAAATTAAAGGACACCCTTTGCAATTCTTAAGGGTTATTTTTTAAAACATTTATGACATTTTGGATATACCTCCATAACTCTTCTTCAGTGTTAGATGTGGAAGGATGCACTGTTGTTTTCAGTGCCCCAAAGAGAATGGTCGCAAGGTGTTAAGATTTTATTTTACTTGGTATATATCTCTTGATACATAATTAGCACTTTTAAATATATAAATAATATTTTCGGACACTGAGGGACATCTATGGGAGAGTGGAAAAGTATTTGTATTTAAATTTTAAAAAAAGAAGAAGATAACACTATCGGTTGTCGAAAAACGTCGCTTCGCGTAAAGTAAAGAGCGTTTCTCGGAGAGTTTTTGTTCGAGTTTGGTAAAGTGGCCAGCTGTCGTGGGTGTCGGCAAAATAATTACTATTGCTAATTATTATACGTGATTTGCACGGATTAAAACCACGATTCGCAATAAAAGGCATTGCTGTTTAGTGTAAAAGTTTTAGTTGAGGAGCGTGCCAGAATTTCTTTTGAATTGAGCCATATTTGCCTGTTACGTCTCCATGTTGGGGAATTCGGCATTGGAGGTAAGCGTGCACAAAATTTCGATAAAAACATAATGCAAGTCCTTTCTTATTTGTTTTATCTACACTTTTAGATGTTTTACCTGGAGGTAGTAGTTTTTGTCCTACGATAATTTTTTTTTGGAGAACTCCCCCAACGAGTTTTGTAAGCCAGAGTTTTGTATGCCAGAGTTTCGTCATCGGTCGGAAAAGAAACCGCTGCAGATTTAAATACAATCCACTCGGCCAGCGACCATCCATTGTCTAGTGGAAAAGGTACCACCTCATCGCGTGTCCTGTTACCTCTTAAGGAAGGCGTCACAGATAAGTACCAAGCACTTAATAATTTCGAAGGTTCAACCTTTCTGTTTTTCCACCGATTCGACAGATCAATATTAGCCATAAGTGTTGGTTCCTTTGTAAATAAAATTAGGTTAAGATTACTTAGCATAAGAGTTTATCCGACCATACTCGAAACAGTTGTAGGTTACAATTTTGCAAAGGGAAGACTCATTTAGCATATTTTTTTTAGATGTGTATTTGTCTTGTCTTCCTATCGATGTCCATAGACATTTAAATTTAAATTTAAAGTACCCTGTATAAATATTCAAATCATATTATAATAAATCTATACTGAATGTTTAGTGGTTTCCTCATTATAGTTCTCTAAGTAAATTTTCGATTGAGGGTACTTAGAAATTACAGAAATCACTTGGCGCCCTAAAATCTGTTTAATTTTCATGTGTTTTGTTAATTTGTTTTCTGTTGTAAGAACCCACGCCCTCCACTGAAAAGCTAACTAGCCAAAAATAAAGTATTAATTCCAAAGAAAGGGTTACAACGTACATACCACAGTTAACATGAACATTGTCCCTTCTACCGATCCATCAACGAGGGAATCTTTGGTTCAGATACTGTCGGACATTTATAGTGAAATTGGTGATGCGCCATCGTGCATAAACCACATGTTAGCTCTGAGTAATAACGGAACATCTTTCAATAACTCGGGTTTTGCAAAAATTCTAAATAAAATTCCTCATTCAGTCTATTTGGGTAGAATAACAGGGCCAATAATAATGCTCTCAATGATCTCAAACCAAACATTGATGCGAAATTCATGCTGATAATGTTTCACTTTGACAGCATGTGGATTTTCTTGAGCATACATATTATGTTGATTGTGAATATTTATTATTCCGCTTCTAGTAAAACATAATTGACCGTACAAAATCAGAGCCTATTAGCACTTTGTAAAGTATTCTAATGGGTGGCAGGATAATGCATACATTTAAAAACATTTTTTTTGTATCCAAACCGCTCATTTAATAAAAAAATCTAGAAATGGCCCAAAAACTTCCAAATGGTACCACATATCAAATAAAAAATAGTTGCCATTGTTGCCCGAAAAACGAAAAAGTTATGAACGCATATTATCACCTTAACAGGAGTTGTAAGTTTTAAAAAACACTGTGTATACCTAACACCAAAATG